GTTTGTATTTGGAGAAAGTTACATAGAAAACCCAAATCCTAGAAGGTTGGCCATAACCACCTATAAGGGGATTTGTGTCTTTCTCCTGAAAGATGGTGTCCAGGAGATAATATAGTCTTAAGGGACTGAAATAAAATTTGATCCATTCATTACTCACAAAGTTTCTTGATAAAAGCAACTCAGAATAATGTATGTCAAGGGCACTGATTCTTCTACGTTGAGCCCCCTCATCCACACCCAGATGTAACTATCTACCATAAATATGAGGTAAAACCAAGCAAAGAACAGGGAGTGGAACTTGCTGTGGTAAAGCGGGTCTCAGAGGAGCTCAAGGACAGCACCCACCTGGCAGCCGAGTTCTAGGTTGTGGCCCCAGTATCCAGCTTCACATTCTCCACAGGCCGCACCTCGGGTGTGGGGAGGGCAGATGCAGTCCCCGGAGGCGGGGTCACAGATGTTCCCAGTGTGCTCACAGTCACAGGCTACAGAGAGAGCACATGGTGTGCAGGACAGGTTGACAGAGGAAAGACAAGAGTCCGTGCTGCAAGTTCGTTCCCTTTCATGAACAATCTAACTCATTTCCCTAGTTCTTAAAGATTCACCCTTCCATGTCTCCTGGGAGTTTGGTTTTCATCAGGATGGACTGGGAGAAGGGAAAAGATTGGGAAGACCTCCACAGCAGGGAAATTTCTATTTACTGAACACTTATTATACACCTGATGCCCTTTTAAAGGACTTTACGCACAGCCTTCAAAACAACTCTGCAGGGAGATTAAAATTAGCATCTCTATTTTGCAGATAAGGAACCTACAGCTAAGAGATGCTAAATGATCAACCTAAATGCACAGTGGGTGAGCACAATGAAAGCTTGTAGTGGGACCCAGAATAGGGACCAGGAAATTGAATAAAATCATGCATTTGAATGAAATCATGCATGTCTAGGGAGAGAAAAAGTAAAGGAACTTAACAGAATTAGAGACAGAGGGCTATTCCACAGAAAGGCTGGGATTAGTACATGGTATGGAGAAATAGATTCAGCACTTACGTGTACAGCCCCCATCCTGGAATGCGTAGAAACCCCGAGCACACCTGTCGCACCTGTCCCCAGCAACCCCCGGGATGCAGTGACAACAGCCTTCCTCCGAGCAGTCGTCCGACATGGAGCCCAATGAGCTGCAGTTACACGGCAAGCAGCCATGCCCTGTGGCCAAGCCATAATAGCCGTGCTGTTCCGCATGGAGGTGAGGGAGAGGGGAAGACGGGAGGGGCGAGGGGAGGGGAAGGAGGAGGGGAGGAGAAAGAAGCCAAAATGCATTTTAGTCAGTAACAATATACCCTAGAATGCTTTCCAAATCAAACATAGGATGTTTCATTGACTTGTAAAGTGAACCAAGCTCAAGGCGTCAGTTACAGACTTCACTGACACATGCTTGACTGGTACCAATGATCATGGGCTTCTTACCAAGCACTGGTCACACTGCTGTCCAGTCACATGTGGTCTGCAGTCACAGAGGCCAGTCTCATGGTGGCACACTCCGGAAAGGGAGCCCTCTCCATGGCATTCACAAGCTAACAAACACACAACAGACAAATGAGTGTCCATTTCTATGGATGATTATAGCAAGATCCCTTAGTCCCCCAAAGGGAAAAAAAAATTAAACATTCACCTTTCAAACCACAAAGCTAACGAAAATATTTTTCAGTAACTAAATTTCTGAAGAATAAGCTGTGATAGGGTTAGTGGAGAAACCAGCACATCTTGGTCAGTCATTCTGGAGTCCCATGCTTCCTTCAGGACTTAGGTCAAGTGACCCTTTCCCTGAGTGCAGCCCTGACTGTCCTGGCACATGGGTGTAGCCTCCTTCCTGCCTCACAAAACTGCACACCCAACATGCTGGCCACTGTCCTTTGTGTCTCCCGAAAGAGCCCTGGGGTGTAACTGAAGCAAAAGGGGATGAAATGCACTGGAAATAGAAACCTGAGCTGACCGTTTGACAGCTTG